CAGCCGCACAGGCCGCTGAAGCGGGCCACCCCGACGCCCAAGTTCGGTGAGAAATGACGTTTTCGGGACCGTGATTGGAGAAAGGATCTGCGCTCGGGTTCGAAAATGGAACCCCTTTGCTCACGACCACGACTCAGGCGACTCCACACCTTCTCCTCCCACCTGGTAACTACCTACCTATGTAGGCTCGGTAGATACCTGATGTGGAGTGTAATGTAGACTCTGTGTGTCTCTGAACCATGAAAGGAGGGAGCGGGCAGTCAGGGGTTCCGCGTTAGTTAAGTCCGGACATCACCGGGCATGGCAAGCACAAGCAGGTTTCACAAATGTTCTGTGAAGGAACAAGAGCCAAGCGGTGAAGGCCTGGCTGTCCTGTGTACGGATACAACACGGTGCACCTGATAACCTGAGTCAGAGTGTCGTCACATTCACGCTCACGAGATCAAACTTTTCAAGGGCTCCTCGGTATCTTGAGGCTAACAGTAAGTGACTGACTAAATCACATTGAAAAGTACGTAAAATGGCGGGGACAAATGGAGATCGCCATTAGAGCTCGGATACCCAGAAGGATCGATCGTTACATTTCCATTCTGGTACAGTCAAGTTGCGAGCTGCTTCGAGGGATGCGGCGATCTCAAAGCTTTCGACGTGATGGTTTGGGTAATCCTCGTCTAGGTCGGTCTTGGTGTGATGGAAGAGATGAAATCTAGTACCTAAGCTTTGAATTCTCCGCAGCTTCGTCGTCGGCGTTTTCGGGTATGCTAGCCAGGAAGTTGGTACGAATTCGGGATGGTTCCATGAGTCGCGAGAGTAGAGCCCCTGATTCCTGAGATTCTGTAGTGCTGTGCCATGTGAGAGAAGGCTGGCTTCGGATTACGGCGATGGGTGCGAGGGAGTCTGAGAGAGAGAACAAGAGAGATGTCAGGGGAGAGTCGAAACCATCGCTAGATTATGAACGGCACTGGCTAAGCAAGTTGTATTGACTAACGGTTCGGTATGTTTGCCGGGAGCGGTAACCTACCTACCTAGGTACCTAGGTAGGTACTCGGCTGGGAATGACAATGGCTTCCATTGATAAAACATGTTCAACGCCCCCAAGAACACAGAATGGGGTGCCTTTGACAAACCACAAAGGCGGCATTGTCTGCATCCACGCTGGCCTTTCCGATCAAGGAACCCAAGGGACGTTCTGGCGGAACAATACTGAACAGAACAACTAAGCTGTCTGAAGCAACTCGATCCATATAAAGTCAGCCCATGGTTCATTTCCTACCACCCTAGAGGTAGGTATCTAAGTTCCTCATTAGCTCACAATCCCAACTTCAACCAGCATCACACACAACACGCTCAGAAACCGTCAAACCCAAACACCAGCAAAATGGCCCCTCAGCACGTCAATATCCAAAACAAAGCCAGGGCCGACAGCAAGGTATTCACCGTCGAGCGGTTGGCTGCTGAGCACTCGACCATCATCCGCAATCTCATCGCGGACTTCGCCGACGACGAGAATACCGATCTCACTGAGGCGGTCATTCCCATCTCCATGACCGAGGTCAGTGACGACGCCATCGCCAAGGTGTTGGAGTGGGCCACCGAGTATAAAGATCTAGCCAAGCCTTCGGAGGACGAGAAGGAGGTGCAAGACAGGGCCATGATCACCTTCACTGATTGGGAAAAGAAGATGTTCGACGACATGACGTCGCAGATGCTGTACGAGGTGCTCGTCTTGACCAACTTCCTCGAGTTCAACCGGCTCTATAACCTGGCCTGTCTGATTGTCGCTAACATGCTTAAAAACAAAACGGCCTCCCAGATCCGTGAGATCCTCGCGATTGAGTCTGACTTCACCCCCGAGGAGGAGGAGGAAATCCGCAAGGAGACGGCATGGGCCTTTGAGAGGAACGAGGCCGATACGGCATTGTAAGCTGGTGCCTCTTTAGGCGCACCCTCCATGTCTCCAAGCCAGCCAAACCATTAGTACCTAGGTATGTACTATTAAATAAGTCGGTCGCTGGGGCTTGATGTAGCAATAGTATTGACCTACCTAATACCTGCCTTAGTATGAAACTGTAAATTGATCGCAAATATGACAATAAACCGAATTTGTCTCTCTGTAAGTAAGTACCTATTTAGGTAGTGCCTACTAATAATTACCTAGGAATGAAGTGAGTGAGTGACTGATTGATTGATTGATGTCGGAGACCTGAAGTCGTGCATTGAGCCTGCTCCAAACGTGGAACATTTGCTGCCTTCGACGAAAATTACAACTCTCTGTGAAGCGGGATTGCCCAACGGCGTTTCATCTTCCGGCATCACCGGCGGATCTCTGCCGACACCACCACAAGCTGGCAGTTGAAAGTTGAAACAACCCCGAGACGGGCTGCGTGGCCCTCCTCCTCATCACGGCCCCCGCCGAAGAGAAGACGGCAGTTCTTGGCCAATCCGAAGTGAATTGAAGTCCGTTATCCGCCCGGCGGCTGTGTCGGTACGCGGCGCAGCGGCACCTGAACACGTTGGAGCCCTTGGAGACGACACTGGACGCGCTGGGCAGCATCCCGAATTCCCGATACGATCTGGAACCGCGCCCCCGAAAATCAACGCGGCAACGCCGGGGCCAAAGAGCGGGGCGACGTTGGGCGTGCGTAACTACGGATCGACGCGGCCCCACTGAGTGCGTGCTTGGCCTTTTTATTCTTCTAAGCTGCAGCCTAAGAGCTGAAATTGTGCCGCATCTGGACATTCCCCAGTGTCCAGTCGGGAAAGACCGAAAAGAGTTGAAACAAGACAGAGAGATCATGAAGAGCGGCAGGTACTCTCGATTTATTTCTGAGAGATCCGGTGTGTCCGTTGTGTTTTTCTCACCTCCAGGCAGTTGCTTTTTCTCCACGGTGCGCGGCTAATCAAGTGCCAACACGATTTTGACATGCAGCTGTGAAAATGACTGTTGGTTCGGGCTGTTGAGCCTGTTGGTTCAGCCCTCGCCTGTTGGTACTTGGTGGTCAGGGCACGTCGCATTCGCCTGTCTTTCTCACCCCTTTAAGACCGCCGTGCCGCTGGAACATGACATCTTCAGATGCTGTGCCGGAGGACCCTGCATTGCCCCCAAAGGCGGCTCATTCATGCCACCTGACGCCACCTCATCGTATACGGTATCTCTGTTTGGCGTCGTCCCCAAGTCTTTAATAAGAGTTCGGCTCAGCCCCGGGCCCCGTGTGCAACTTCTTCTCCGCCTGCCCGAGACGGCGAGACCTCTCCCGAACCGCCACAGCCATGACAAGAAACACACAATTACGCGCGCGGCTCGTCGTGTTTGCTGCCGGTGTGAGCCTGCTTCTCGGTGCCAGAGCCCAGGCGACATGCTACAACACATGGGGGGAGGAGGACGCAAACCAGCAGCCATGCTACGCGCCGGGCGCCGACACGGCCGCGGCCACATGGTGCTGCAGCCGGGGCGATACCTGCCTCTCCAACGGCCTCTGCCTGAGTCCCGGCTCAAGCAACCTCATGACCCAACAAGGATGCACCGACAAAGCCTGGGGCGGTTCCTGCACCAAGTTCTGCCCAGCCAGCACCGGCAAGTCCCCCCCGTCCCAAACCCACCTCACCTGCCCCACAAACAACAAACAACTAACCCCCATCTCCAGACCGCCAACTCACACCCATCCCCCTCGTCCCCTGCCCCAACACCCTCGACACCGCCACCAACGCCATCCAATTCTGCTGCGGCGGCTCCGACACCGCCACCTGCTGCCAGACGCCCTCGGCGCGCCTCACCCTCCCCACCGGCACCATCCTCCCCACCACTGCCGACTCCTCCTCCTCCTCTTCGGCCTACTCCCTCAAAATCGGCCTCGGCATCGGCCTCGGAATCGGCATCCCCATCCTGCTCGTGCTGCTCGCAGTCGCCTACCTGCTCGCGCAGCCGTCGCTGCACGCGCGGCGGCGCCGCAAGGAAAAGTTGCGAGCGCGGGGGGAGCGGCGCGGGGGGGGGAGGCGGAAGCCTGGTGGTGGTGGTGGTAAGGGTGGTGGTGGGTTTGGGGACGGGACGAACACGGAAAAGACGTCGGATACGTCGCACACGTATCCGGCGCCGAGGTCGTTTGGGAGGGTGGATACACGGACGGGGGGGGAGAGTGACCTGGATGGGGAGGACGGGATTAGGATGGGGAGGGGTGTGGGAGGGGGTGCGCACGCGTGGCCGCCCGGGCCGCTGCCTGGGATGGGGGCGGACGGCGGGCCTGTGTCGGCGAGCAGTGTGGCGACGGCGATTGCGCAGTGGGCGCGCTCGCCGTTTGGGTTTGGGGGCATGGAGCCGCCGCCGCCGAGCCCCAAGGAGATGGATGCGAGTGCTGCTGCTGGAGGGAGGGGGAGGGGTGGGTGGAGGGGGACGGCCAGTCGGTTGGGTGCCGCCGAGCTGCCGTCGCCGGATCCGAATGTGCGCTCGCCTGCACGTGGGCGGGAGAGCGGTGTGAGGGGGTGGAAGGAGGGTCGCCATGTGCATGTCGCTGCCGAGGTGGAGTTGCCGACGCCGGATACCCCTGAGAGGGATCTCGAGAGCGGGTTGGGCGGGAGGTGATGGGGGGATCAACACAGCTTATAACAGCATATTTTCTTAATTTTTATGATACCTCGAACATGTTGGCAGTATCAAACTCTAGCATTATTACTAGCAACCAATATCTAGTCAAGCTCATGGCCCAGATTCCCTGATGGTGACAGCTGTGGACGCACTATCCCTGTACGCCTTGGGGAGAAGTGAGCTCTCGGTATATCCTGATAATGTAGACCGTCAGTGTTTTCATCAGTGCGATGAGATGAGTTACTGCTAGCCAGTTCGCCGTGGGGGGCTCAGGGACTAATGACGGAGGATATCCCAAGGTCTCCATGGCAAGTCTCGGGGTCCAGAGCACAACAAAAAAGACGACAGCCTCCCTCCTCAAGGCCTGAGGACCAAAATGGAAAAAGAGAAGTAAAGACCGGAGCACCGATGACGGGAATTGAGCCCGACGTGGGGGTCGAACCCACAACCTTGAGATCGCCTTTCTAACCGTTGATGGGGAAGTAAGAGTCTCACGCTCTACCGATTGAGCTAGCCGGGCGCTGGGTCTGTTGTTGTTGTGGGTAGGTGGTCGGGAATGGTGCTTGTGTGGGCGGATCCTGGTCCCGGTCGATGAGGTTTTTATCGATTTTTTTTTTCCGAATCCACAAGTGGATCTAGGGGCAAACCGAACCACGGGCATAAATGGGATTGGTGACCTTGGAGGACTGCAAGGGTGGTCATTTAGGATATGTGAGGGTAGTCTATTGTTTTTGACTCTTCTACCGAATAGTACTAGAAACTATACTGTGAGTGGTGGGATGATGACTCGGAACTGTTGATATTGGATTCACATCTTTGTTTACTTCCCCCTGACACTTACAGCTACATGTAGCCAAAACCATCAACTGCTCAATCAAGCAAATCAACCAACGTCTTCCCAGAAAAATAATATCTTGAGCTCTAAAAGAGCGACTGTTTTTCTGGCCTCAGCTGCTCTTTCCGAGTCATAACTTAGCCGGGTGGGACGAAAGAAAGGGTTTGTGTTATTATGAGGAACAGACGCATCACGCGTTGACCTGAAGGGCGAGAAACAAGAAACACAGTGAAATAGACACGTTCATACGGCTATGAACACCTCACCTAGTTAATAAAAAGTTCATTCAGTGGTCTTATTTCAAGCCAACTGCTTTGTGCGCTCTCAGTTATTTTCCCACGCACAAATTGTGGTTGTTGATTAATTCCTACCCATCTTACCACAATCAACAATCTCTTAAACGGCCACCTTACTTTATCTTGTGCCGCTACCAGTCATCATCGACCTTGAGTAGCACGAGTTTGGTATTGTTCACACATGGTCATCGTCTAGCTGGTCGCGACTCCCCAACCTCTCTTGCCGACCAACTCTCTACTATCTCTCTAGATCCAACTATCTTGAAATCAACAAGATCACAGCCAACATAAAACCAAGACCGTGTACTGCTACCAGCAGTGATAAGATATAAGCACAATAATAAATTCATCACCCAACCGGTGCCAGCCTCCGAGAGATATACCCACCACCGGCCCTGTATTTGCCGACACATCGACCATCACTCACTAGGAACACTGCTACCAGCAGATTGAATCGTACGTACAGCATCAAACAAGCATCACGCGATATTCACTAACCAAATAATAGACACTATCCGCCATAGCGGCCTTCCTCCATCCCCAAGTCGATACCACGAGTCCACGAGTCCACGACGCCAACAACAATGGCGGACAACCTCGCCAACCCCCTGGTCCTACCCGCCTCGGTCTACGCCTTGGACATCTGGTCCCACCTCACCGAACACCTCCACTGGTACGGGATAGGCGGGCTGCACCCGTCGCATCTCGGCGAAGGAGTGGCGCGCGGGCGGTACACCATCGTGCACAAGCTGGACCACGACAACCACACGCTGTCGTGGCTGGTGCGGGACAACATGACGGCGACCTGGCGGCGCCTCGACATCCTCCACGCGGCCGAGGACATGATGGGCCCGCGCTTCCGCGACGCCGCCTACCAGCTCGAGCAGCGGAGCGTCCTGCGCAGCCAGGCCGAGGCCGACGAGCGCGGCCTCGCCGTCGCCCTCTTCACCGAGACGGGGCCTAACGGCGACCACGTCCACATCGTGTGGCCGCTGCACGGCGCGGGCAACTTCTTCCGCTCCGGCGTCCCCTTCGGCGGCGACGAGGTCAGGATGGACGCCGCCTGGTTCATGAGCGAGTGCGCCAAGCTGCGCGGTGGCGTGCCGCCCGCCTGCTTGCATGACATTGGCGCCCAGGAAATGCTGGCCATCCTGGGCCGCCCGCGCGTGATCCTGCTCGACGCCGAGCTGGCGCGCCTGGCCTTCTTCACTACCGAGGCCATTGCCCCTCCCCGGGTGCCGCTTTACCTTGTGCTGCGCCCGGAACGGATTGCGGACACTCAGCACGCCGACAACAGTTTGCCGGAGCCCGAGACGGAGACGGAAGCAGAGCCGGAGACGGAAGCAGAGCCGGAGACGGAAGCAGAGCCCGAGACGGAAGCAGAGCCGGAGACGGAAGCAGAGCCCGAGACGGAAGCAGAGCCCGAGACGGAAGCAGAGCCGGAGACGGAAGCAGAGCCCGAGACGGAAGCAGAGCCCGAGACCGAGACAGATGCTGAAGGGTGAAGGCACCGCGTCCAAAGAAGTTCTTGTTGAGAATATTGTCTGTACATACAGTAGTCTCTGTGGGGCCTTGATGGCCTGGGTAGGTACATACCAGATCCATACTGCCTTCAAGCAGTCGATTTGGGGGGTCCGTATCCTATCCAGTTAGTGCCATGGGCCACCAGATAGCTCACAGGGTATTATCCACGACCTGCGCTTGAATCCAACGAGGAGCCATACCAGCAATCAGTGACCCCCATCAGTGAAAGCGGTCACCCAGAAGCGCAAAGACATGCATAGACGAGTCTGTATGTGACGAATAAACCATAATCTTGATGCCCGAAATCCAGTTCAACAGCATCCCTACAAAACTCTAACAGGGGTATTCGCTATTCCCCAAGCACTGCTTTCAAATCCCGCCATGCATTCTAAGCCAACTTGATCCCGCCTTTAAAAATGCCTCCAACGTCCCCCACCAAGTCATCAAACCGCCGCCTTGCCCCTACGCTTCGGCGCTGGCGTGCCATTCCCACTCATGCCCAACTTCGTGACCCTCGTCCGCCGCTTGGCTATCCCCACTTTCGTAGCCGCGGCAGCAGGCTGCGGCTCGACCGCTGGCGGGGCAGGGGCCGCAGGTGCAGGCGCAGGCGCAGGCGTCCGCTTAGGCAAGGACCGCGCCCTAGTCCGCAGGTTGGGGGCAGCAGCGGGCTTCTCGGGAGCAGGTTTCTCAACGGCAGGCTTTTCAGCCGCAGCCGGTTTCTCCCCGCCCGTCTTCTCCGCACTGCGTATCTTCTTGACCGGCGTCGGAGGCGGCAACCTAGACGACCTTGTCCGCCTAGTGGACGCAGGCGCTGGTGCCGGGGCAGCGGGCGCCGCAGCCGCGCTCCCGGCCTTCCGCGCGGCCACCCGCGCCGTCTTCTCAACGACGGGCTCGGCCGGCAACGGCGGTTCCGCCTCGGCAATCTCATCCACCCCATCATCATCCACCATCACATCCGCCAACAACTCCCTCGCCATCCCGCGAAACACGCTCGGCTCATCAGTCTGAAACCTGACCAGCTCCTCCGCCCACCGAACCGCCTTCGCCGCACCACCCTTCTTCCGCTTCCCACCCGGCCCCAACTCATCCACCCCCTCCCCACCATCACCCTCACCGCCCGCCGCGGACCTCCGCTCCTTAGCCTCCCAAACCCCCTTCAACTCCCTCATCCTCCACGCGGCCGGGTCCTCGGCCTGGCGGGCGAGTACCGCGGGCGGGGGCAGGGCGGCGCCCTTGTTCTTGCGGGTATTTGCGCGCGTGGCGGCGGCGAGGCCCTTTTCCTCGGCGCGCTGGCGCGCCATGGACGCCAGGTGCGCGTCCATGGCCGCCCCCGCCTCGTCCATGGCCCCCATCCCCGGCAGCCGCACGGGGATCATGGAGAAGGCGATCGAGTTGGCCGAGGGCGCTGAGGGGCGGAGCGCCACCCGCGTGCTGCGGGCGCGCGTGGAGCGCCGCGGGGCTGTGCTGCTGCTGGAGGAGGAGGAGTCGCCCGAGGCGGGGAGGGAGTCGGGGGAGGGGGAGGGGGTTGCGGCGGTGGTGGTGGGAGCGGTGTCGAGGGTGGGGTCGGCGCGTGTGCGTCGGCGCTTGAGGCGCGGGGGTTCGATGGGCTGCTGCTCGGATGGGCCCTCTGCCGATCCGTCCTTGGCCAAGTCGTCGTCGAGAGACTCGGCTTTGCGCTTTTTGGCTAGGCTGGGGCTGTTGGGGCTCTTTACCCCGAGGGGTGTTCTGCTGGCGGGGCTCTCCGGTCCCGGTTTGGCCATTGGGGAGCCGGTGGAAGAGGTGATGGACCCGATCGAGCTGGAGCGGCGGGCGATCTTCTTGACGAGCGCGGCCGCTGCTGCTGCCGCCTTGGCGTTCTTATCTGCCGTGACCCGTGTGACAAAGTTCCGGAGCATCTCGGTCTCCGAGTCATCGTGCCTGGCGTGGAGCTGCAGCGTGTCATACTCTGGCTTCGGTGCTTCAACCGTCATGTCCTCGTCCATGTCCATGGCCATTGCCGCGTCATCACTTTCGTCCACCCCGAGTTCCTCCTCGACTACTTCATCAGCGTCGAGGTCGTCCGATTCCTGGTCGGCCTCCGGCTCATCGTCGTCCCGGAGTTGGCAGGACGGGGCATTCGGAGGCGATGTCTGGCGGCCGTTGATGGGAGTGAACCCAGAGCTCTCCTCCTGAGCGGCAACAGTCCCCGCATTGGTTTCCGGTGTTGAAAGCTGTTCCATGGCGCTTGTGGCGGGGGCGGCCTTTGGAGTACCAGGCTCGGGAGCCTTGGAATCTTCGGTGCGAGATGGAGAACTTGAGACTTCAGCAATGTCTGACGGTGCATCACACTTCGGGACGCTTGACGGGAACTCCACTTCGGTCTTCTCAACATCTAGAGTCTCCTGCGAAATTTCGGCTGTGGTTACTTCTCGTTCGAGGAGCGGCGAATCAGGAGAGGCCATGCAAGCTGCGGTGCTGGCGACGTGGCTGGCGGAGACGTGCGGCTCAGGTACCGACTCGGCCGCGGGCCGCTCATCCACAGAAACATCGACCGAGTCGGCTGACGGTTCATCCTTAGCTGTACCCAGCTCTGGCGAGTTAGAGCGCGGGAGGGTTGCTTCTCCACTTGCGGGCGGCTCATACAGCCCCTCCTTGAGGATCGAAGGCTCGTTGACGGTGAGCTGCTCCTTGATCAAGTCATCGTCGGACGGCGGCTCCTCATCAACGAATGATTGACCGCTAACGTCCGGGGTCGGCACTTGAACTGTACGTTCCACCTCAACTTCCCTTAGAGAGGCACTCTCAATATAGGAAGCCTCTTCGTAGATGGTTGAGAGACCTTCCGGATCCTGAGGCTCAAAAAACATGTCATCTGTCTCGACCGCC